CCCTTCCACGCACATGCCAAGTTCGATAGGGATATGGGCACAACTCACCCTTCGCATGGATCAAATTAGTTTAATCTCTAGTGTGTCAGCAAAGCATTGATCGAATTAGTTTAAAAAGCTTCCATTAAAAAGATCAAGATTTATTTCTGTAGGTATATATCTATAACTATATAAAGTATAACATCCATATTTTTTAAAATTACTATGAAATCTGGTCCAATATATATAGAAAATTAAGAAAGCTGGATTTTCAAATTATTCAATTTTCATGCATGCATAAACAACTCACCCTTCGCTTTCTTCTTCCTTTAAAAAGGCCCCAAAATCCAAAGCCATCTTCACAATATAATTTCTTACGAAAACAATGGCTTTCAAATTCTCTCTCCAACTCCAAGTACTATTCCTGCTTCTGGCCTGCATTGCACCTCACGTGATCTTAGCACGTGATCTCGGCACCCACAAATCATATCGACGTCTATTTCCTCAATATCTCGAAGGCAGTCGCAAGGGCCACAACATCCAAGGAATCCACGACGTCAAGCTTTACCTACAACGTTATGGTTACATGAGTGCCAATAGTGTCCAACCCAACGACAATGCCTTCGATGACGCCTTGGAATCGGGCCTAAAGAAGTACCAACAATTCTTCAAGCTTAACGTGAGTGGCATTTTGGAACGGGAGACGTTAGTTCTGATGTCCCAACCTCGATGCGGGTGTTCAGATATGTTCGACGCTGAGAATCATGAGGTTAACAAGGCCAACACTTCTTCTCACTATACATTTTTTCCAAGAAATCGAAAATGGCCTGCCAACAGGCACTACCTGACGTACGGATTCATCCACAACTTCCCGACAAACTTCATGACGCCGGTGGTTCGAGCGTTTGAGGATTGGGATTTCAACACGCTGTTCAGTTTCACGCAAGCGCCGCACGTCCAAGCGGCTAACATCGTGCTGAGCTTCGAGAGAGGGTATCACGGCGATAGGTTTCCGTTCGACGGAAGATGGGGAGTGTTGGCGCATGCATTCGGGCCGAACGACGGGAGAGTTCACTTCGACGCGGACGAGAATTGGGTGGTGGGGATGGTGGCTGATGGGTTTGACGTGCAGATGGTGGCGCTGCATGAGCTAGGGCATGTTCTTGGCCTCAAACACAGCGCCGACAGTCAAGCCATCATGTGGCCCTACATGGAGCCCAATACGGTCAAGGGCTTGAGTGGTGATGATATTGAGGGAATTCGTGCCTTATACCAGTCCTAGAACTTACAAACTATTATTCTTTGCCTAAACAATTTGGAATGCACTTCGAATAAGATTGCTACACTACACAACACAACACATGCTTGTTATCTTTTATTTACCTTGAAAATAATAAAGAAGCTTAATTAGCATTTTTCCTTTTCACTAATTGTTTGATTTAGATAAATTGATGCGTGGATACAAAAATTATACTTAAGAGTGTTATTCACAATATGAGGATGCACGGTTTTGGTACCGTTGAAGTTTGATCGAGATAAAATACTTGAGAGAGTTATACACAATATTTGGCTCCTCGGTCCTCATGGATGAGGACTTTCTTGTCACCATTAAAAAAATTAACAGTTCATTATTTAAAAGGAAACGTCTATCTTTTTGCATTTCTTTCTATATCTTTTAGTATCTGAGTTTTGAGGTGGGGTCTATTTGGTTCTTGGAGTTTCAAATATGACACTTTAATACTTAAAGTTTGAAAAATGGTTCTAAATAGTTCCTGAACTCATTTGACTATTAATTGAACTGATGGTGGCAATGATCGAAGGTTCCACTTACAACACAAATGGATTATTTTTTCTTTCTTAATTTTTCGAAATCGATGTTGTGTGGCTAGTGCAGGATTTGAACCCATGATCTCATAGTAGGTGATATCACAAGGCCTAACGTTCTTACCATTGCGCTATCCCTAGATTACACACAAGTGGTGGGTTTTGAGTGAGTGAATTTTTTAGTTTCAGATCTGAAACATAGTAGAGGTGGGCAGCCCATGGAGCGCCGTGAGGAAGGTGACGGCGAGCAGCAAGTGGCGGCGCGAGAAAAATCTGGCGAAGGAGAAAGCTTACGAAAAAGAGAGGGGAGAAGGAGAAGGGAAGAGAGACAAGGAGAGTAAAAAGACCACTTTAAATAATATCAAAATAATTTTTTGCCAACTCATCTAATAATACCAAATCTGTATTACCAATTACACCGCATTATTTTTTTTAGTTAATTAACAGTCAAATAGTCAAATAGTTGAGGGAACTTTAGAACTATTTTAAAGTATTCTTTTCTTTTTTCTTTTTTTTTTAATTTTGGAGACTAACTAAACACCAACCTTAAAATTCAAAGACAGAAAAATGTATTTATATCATAAAAATAATATCTCCAAAGTGTGTTTTTCAAACCATCCCACCCAAGAGAAAAAATATATTTCAATATACAAAGGTTTTAATTGAATTTTTCCAAGCTGTGGTGAACTTATCAATCTTTTTTCTGATCAAAGAAACTACACGTGCACTGGAAAAAGAAAAAAAAAAGTATCTATTGATCATAGACATCAAATCAACTTACTGTTAATCCAACATGTCATCTACGATCTAACATTTCCAAAGATGGTATTATACAGAAAACTTAGTTCACAAAGCTTCCAATTAAAGAGTATCATATTATTTCCATAGATATACATGTATATAAAGTATAACATGGTAGTGAAAGATCATCAACTTAATGACATTACCATGAAATCCGTCCCAATATAGAATTAAAACACACAGCCGACTTTTCAAACTATATATCCATTTTCACGTGCGTGCATGCACATAATAACTCAACCCAACCCTTTAAAAAGACCCCCAAATTAAAATCCAAGCCATCGCCCACACATCAAATCAAAATATGGCTGAGTTCAAACATTCTCTCCAGCTCTCCTTGATCTCTTTCATCCTCCTGGCCTCCATCGCAGCTCACGTGACGTCGGCACGTGATATTCACAATCACAGTCACGACAAATCATCCCATATCATATTCTCTCAAAATCTTTTAGGAACCCGCAAGAGCCACAACATAGAAGGAATCCACGACGTCAAGACTTACCTCAAACGCTATGGCTACTTGACCCATATCGGCAGCCAGCCAGGCGCCTTCGACGATGACTTGGAATCCGCCCTCAAAACATACCAAAAATTCTTCAACCTCAACGTGACCGGAATTTTAGACAAGGAAACGTTAAGCCTAATGTCGCAGCCCCGATGCGGGGTTCCAGATATTTTCCAGATATTTTCCACAACGAGACGGAGCATCTCCACATGGGGTCTCACTACGCCCTCTTCCCGGGGAACCTAAAATGGCCAAAGTCCAAATACAACCTGCGGTACAAGTTCATCCACGATTACCCAGAAGGGTTCAAGGATCCAGTGAGGAAGGCTTTGATTCTGTGGTCTGCGTACAGCCATTTCGGGTTCACAGAAGCTGGCAGGGACGAGTTGGATGACATTAAAATAAGCTTCGAGAGGGGCGCGCATGGAGATAGGCATCCGTTCGTGCCTGGAACGGGAGTGTTGGCACATGCGTTTGCGCCAACAGATGGGAGATTTCACTTGAACGTGGACCAGAAGTGGTCGGTGGGGGCTCAAGAGGGTTATTATGATGTGCAGTCGGTGGCACTGCATGAGATTGGGCATCTTCTTGGCCTCGCCCACAGCAAAACCAAAGAAGCCATCATGTGGCCAGTTATACCCACCAATTTTGTCAAGGGCTTGTATTATGACGATATTGCTGGACTCGAGGCTTTATATGGATTTCCTTATTTTCAACATTAACCATTTCAATGCAAAATTTCTAGTACTACTATTCACACTATTCTAAAATATTATTTTTATGAATAATAATAAATAGAGGTAGTATGAGAAATACAAACCTCTTTTTATCTTCTTGTGATTTGATTTTATTTATAGGTCGGAGTTCAAATTCCTACCGTCACATTTTATATAAAAAAAATAAAAAGTAGCTCTTTTGGGATTAAAAAAAGTAGTAGTTTTTGTTCTTTCATGATGAGATTTGATTTAAATCGATCGGCCAAAAACCTACTCGAATCTTATTAAATTTAGGAAATTTTTAATGGTTGATAATGGAAAAATACTTAGTTTTTAACCCGTAAGGGTCTATCTCCATCCTGAAGACTATTGAAAAAATGACAGCTTATTATTACTTAAAAAAATTATTTGTTTCACATTTTTGTTTAAGGGCAAAATAGTTCATCACCAATAAAGATGTAAGCATTTTCCATTTATAAATGAACAATATTTAGAGGGGGAAAAATTGGTAGTTCATAGTTTAAAAAACAATTTATTATTTATTATTTATATTATTGTTGTTGACGACGAATTTTGGAAAGGTCTACGTGTCCCCCAAACGACTAGCTTTGCCAAGGATCAAATGAGTTTGCAACCAAAAAACTCGACGTCGGTGCCCGCCTAATATACTCCAACGCTCAAGTTAGTAATTAGACTAAGAAGTAAGAAAAGATACCTTTAGGGTTTTAGTGATAGATTTTTCACTTACTTCGCAAATGTGAGGGTCCTTCCCTTTTATAGGCTCGGATGAGAAATGGCAGGGGTGCGCCGAACTATACGGTGCCTCACTGGGAGTGTACGCTCCCGACAATCAGTGAATGACACCTCCAGTTGCAGGACTGAAGCAGGTTTGTCCATTCGACACTCTGGTTTTTCTTCCTTTTCTACCTCTCCAATCATATTTTTCATCTAAAAAATTTGCTTCATGTCCCTGCTGTCACTAAGAATCTTATTAGTGTCATATAAAGTTTTCTTTGAATTTCACCCTTCATTTTGCCTTCGTAAAGGATCAAATTACTGGCATGGTCCTACTCCAAGAAACAATTCGTAATGGTCTATATACCTTCCAGCTGGACAAATGCACTCCCATAAGTCCTAAATGCTGTGAATCACTCCTCATCGTCGTCTTTTCCTTCTGGTAACTCCATGTCTATTGCATATTTGTGGCATCGGAGGTTGGGTCACCCATCTCCTTTAATTGTAAACCAAGTTCTCAAACAATGTTTTGTGTTTAGCTCAAATAAAATTTTCTCATTTTGCAAATAAAATTTTCTCATTTTGCAATGCATGTGCTATTGGTAAAAGTCATGCTTTACCTTACACTTTATCATCAACTTCTTATACAACTCCATTACAACTCATTGTCTCTGATTTATGGGGTCCAACACATAAATCTTCACGTAATGAATTTCATTATTTCATAAACTTTGTTGATGTTTATTCTCACTACTCTTGGATTTATTTTCTTCATAATAAGTCTGAAGCATTTCAAGCTTTTCTTACCTTTAAACTTCATGTTGAGAAACTTTTTGGTACCTCCATTATTCGCTTTCAATCTGATGGTGGAGGTGAATTTAAAACTTTCACTCCTTTTTTAAAAGCAAATGGTATTGAACGTCGCTTTTCCTATCCATATTCTTCTCAACAAAACGGAATCATAGAACGAAAACATAGACATATAGTCGATATTGGCCTTACACTTCTATCCCATGCCTCTTTGCCTTTAGAGTTTTGGGATGATGCATTTTCCACTGCTGTTTTCTTAATTAATAGGCTTCCTACACCAACTTTGGATGGTTTTAGTCACTTATTGGAGATTCTTTTTAAATAGAAATCAAACTATTCTTCCCTGAAAGTATTTGGTTGTCTATGCTTCCCTTGTCTCCGATCCTATAATAATCACAAACTTGACTTTCTTCTGTTCCATGTACTTTCTTGGGCTACAGTAATATTCACAAAGGTTTCATGTGTCTTTCTTCAAGTGGTCGCGTTTATATGTCTCGAAATGTTAATTTTGATGAAATTTGTTTTCCCTTTTCTACAACATTATCTCCTCAACCTTCTTCCTCCATTTCCTCCTCTGTTACCTCTTCTATTTCTTTACTTGTATCTCCCACTACCTCTTCCATTTCAGATTCCCCTTCCCCTGTGGTGTTCCATTACCCAATCACAATCCCCATCTAATGTTTGCTCCCCCAATCACTTTTCCACCCCAAATTATTCATCCTCCTCCACAGAGCTATCTGCTCCTGCTGCTACTTGTATTAATGAACCAAGTCCCACTATCACTGAACCAAGCTCTACTGGTAATTGTCATCCTATGGTAACTCGGGTCAATAACGATAGATCTAGTGTGTGTCATTCTTTGATTAAATTAATTCAAAAAGTTTCCACTAAAGATCACGAGAAAGAAGATTTATTTTTATAGATATATATCTGAATAAAGTATAACATGTAATTAGCTAACAGATCAAAAAACTTAAATTACTTACAATGAAATCTTTCTCATTATAGAAAGTTAAGAAAGCTGCATTCTCAAATCATTCAATTTTCATACTTGCATAACAACTCACCCTTGCCTTTCTTCTTCCATGCAATTGTCCTTAAAATCCCCCAAAATCCAAACCCATCTTCCACACACAATCCTTTACATCTCTCAAGCAATTTCTTATGAACAATGGCTTCTAAATTCTCCCTCCAAGTACTCTTCCTAGTCCTCGCCACCGTCGCACCTCACGTGATCCTAGCACGTGACCTCCACGGCCACAAATCATATCCACGTCTATTTCCTCAACATCTTGCAGGAAGTGACAAGGGCAACACAATAGAAGGAATCCACGACATGAAGATTTACCTACAACGTTATGGTTACTTGACCAATAATAATAATGTCGAAATTACCAACGACAACGGCTTCGACGATGTCTTGGAATCCGCGGTGAAAAAGTACCAAAAATTCTTCAAGCTTAATGTAAGTGGGATTTTGGATGCGGAGACATTGGACCTAATGTCCAAGCCTCGATGTGGGGTTGCAGATTTCTTCACCAAAGACAACGAAGATGAGCAAGAGCATCATAATCTCCGCGTGAACGGTTCTCATTACACTTTATTCCCAAACAGGCAAAGATGGCCGGTTTCCAAGTACCACCTAACGTTCGGATTCATTCACCAATTCCCACGAGAGTTCATCGCGCCCGTGGCTCGAGCCTTGAAGAGTTGGGATTCGAACACCATGTTTAGTTTCTCACCAGCAGCGCACTGGCCAGCCGCTGACATCGTACTAAGCTTCGAAAGAAGGGACCATGGAGATGGGGCTCCTTTCGACGGGCTAGGGGGAATTTTGGCGCATGCGTCGGGGCCGAACGAGGGGAGAGTGCACTTCGACGGGGACGAGAATTGGTCGGTGGGGGTGGCTGCTGATAGGCTTAACCTGGAGATGGTGGCGCTCCATGAGCTTGGACATGTTCTTGGGCTGGGACACAGCACCGTCAAAGAGGCCGTCATGTGGCCGTACGCGGGGCTCGGTGAAGGCAAGGTCGTCTTGCATCCTGATGATATTGCGGGAATCCGTGACTTGTACAAGTAGAACAATTTAATTAGCTAAACAATTTGGACGATCTTTGAATAAGCTAATTGGCTACACAACACCTGCTGGCTGCTTGTTATCTCTTTTCTTTTGTTTGACAATAAACAAGCTTAGTTAGCGTTTTTATTTTTCACAATGAGTGAAATAAATTGATGCACATTCAAGATTAGAGTTGAGAATTGATAAAGGAAAGCAAAATCCAACTCTATACGGGTTAGGAAAAAAATACACTTTTGTTCGTAAGATTTGAAGTAAATATGTCTACTTGATATCAGTAGTTTTAAAATTGACATTTTTTGTCTGAGAAATTGTTGTAACAATTAAACTGGTGATTGTATTTTTGGTGATTTAGTAAATTATAGTAATTCAATAATTTTTTCTTAATGATGACATTTCCCTCTCTTTTTTCTTTTTCCTTTCCAAATGCTTTTCCTTTCCTCCTCTGTTGAGGTTCACCACCAGTCGTGGCCTCCGTCCTTATATTTTATATAAAAAGTTTTGTTTTGTATCCTTTTGAACAAACCTAAATGTTAAATTATAATAGTTTGGTTCCTAAGTATTGAGAATTATAAGTATTTCCTAACTTTTAATAAATCAAATAGATTTCATAACTTTCAATTTTGCATTTAATAGATCTCTAGCTTTTAATTTTATGTAAAATACATCCTTAATTTATTAGACCATTTTTAAAATTAAAAAATCTATTGATCCAAGTAAGATATATATATATATTTTTAAGTTTATGAACTTAGTAAACATTGATTTATTACACAATATCGAAAGTTCAAAGAAAAAGTTTTTAATTTAACCAATTTAATATAAAAATACATATGCTTAATTATATATCATCGTCTTCAAAATTATTTTTGTATAATCTCCTAGTCCCTGACATAAAATATTCTAGTATTGCTATTGCTCGCGAGTTAGCCTACTATTATAAAAGAGGTTTTTGTTTGTGTTGCAACTGGTGTCACTTAGCCTACTATTGTTGTAGCACAGACATTGCGAGACCCTTCACTATCAATAATGTATTTACTAATTACCACATTTTTTCATTTTGAGTTCTTTCCAATTTCATCTTTAAGCTTAGACCAAACCCAAAAGATGGGATTTTAACGAAATTAATTACGGTTATATGGGACACCGACTCTACTCATAAAAATAATATATCCAAAGAGTGGTTTTTTCCAACCATCCAACCCAAGAGGAAAAAAAAAATACTTCAATAACAATACTAATGAAGGTTTTAATTGAATTTCTCGTGAATAGTGAACTATCAATCTTTTTCAGATAAAAGTTACAAGTGCGTGTGAGGAAGAAAAAAAAAATCATCTATTAATCATAGACATCAGATCAACCTATTGTTGATCCAACATGAGTCATCTTCAATATAACTTTTTCAAAGATGGTATATTCATACAGAAAATTAGTTTAAAAAATAAAGCTTCCAATTAAAGATGATGAAAAGAGAACATTATATTATTTCCATAGATATACAAAGTATAACATGGTAGTGAAAGATCATCAACTTAATTACATTACCATGAGTTCCGCCCCAATATAGAATTAAAACACACAGCCGAATTTTCAAACTATTTATCCATTTTCAACCCTTGGCCTTATTAGCCTTTTAAAGAGGCCCCAAATTAGAATCCAAAGCCATCTCCCACACATCAAATCTAAACATGGCCGAGTTCAAATATTCTCTTCACCTCTCCTTGATCTCTTTCATCCTCCTGGCCGCCATTGCAGCTCACGTGACCTCGGCACGTGTTCTTCATAATCACGCCCACAACAAATCATCTCATATCATATTCTCTCAAAACCTTCTAGGAAGTCGCAAGGGCCACAACATACAAGGAATCCACCACGTCAAAACTTACCTCAAACGCTATGGCTACTTCACCCACACCCAGTCAAACGCCTTTGACGATCACTTGGAATCCGCCCTCAAAACATACCAAAAATTCTTCAACCTCAACGTGAGTGGAATTCTGGACAATGAAACTTTAAGTCTAATGTCCCAGCCCCGATGTGCAGTTCCAGATATTTTCCACAATGAGACGAGTACAAGGTACTAACATCTCAAAACAAATTCAACTCAAAAGACTAGTCCATGTCTATTATAAATCTTTTGTAACATCTCTTAGGAAGGGATGGGGCCACGAGGAGCATCTCCATATGGGTTCTCACTACTTGTTCTTCCCGAGGACCCCAAAATGGCCCGAGTCCAAATGCCGTCTGCGCTACTCATATTACCACGATTTCCCAATGGCGTTCAAGGACCCAGTGAACAATGCTTTAGAGCTGTGGTCGGCGTACTTGCAGTTCGGGTTCGTGGAAGTCGGGGAGGACGATTATTGGGCAGACTTGAAGATAAGCTTCGAGATGGGGGAGCATGGAGATGGGCATCCTTTCATTCCGACGTCGGGAGTTTTGGCACATGCGTTTGCGCCGCGGGATGGGAGATTTCACTTCAACGTGGAGCAGTGCTGGACGGTGGGGGCTCGCCCAAATTGTCAAGATGTGATGTCGGTGGCAGTGCATGAGATTGGGCATCTTCTTGGGCTCGGCCACAGCGGCGCCGAGGAAGCCATCATGTGGCCATGCATACGCCCCAACGCTGTCAAGGGTTTGTTTCAAGACAATGTTGCTGGAATCAAGGCTTTGTATGGATTGCCTTAACAGTTAACATCAACAATTTTGACATAATTATTACATTACATCTCTTATCTTATAAGGTTTCCACCCACAGTGATAAAGTTGGATAGTTTATTTTCTTTTAGGATGTGTTTGAAAGTGATTTTAGAATAACGAAATCATTTTTATCATTGTCCAAATCACTTATTTTTCATTTGATCATGTTTCGCAAATTAAAAAATTCGAAAATATAAAATCACTTAGATTCTTAAAGTATCAATTGAATGATGATTTTGAAAATCAATTATACTTAGATCTATTTTTTCAAAATTATTATCTCTATCATCACTCCCAAATACACTTTTACAAACCTCAGATTTGATTCAAAGCAATTGAAGCTAAAAATCAACTCGAATTTTATTCCACTTTGGGGAATTTTAATGGCTAGTTACCCTATTTATAAATCAACAATATTTCGAGGGTGAATAATATTGTGGTTGGAGTGGTTGTTGGCTTCTTGACCCTTAGTCTCGAATAATTAATTAAGATGACAACAAATATATCTAGTGATAATTATTTTTAGTATGTAAGAATATTTTTTTAATCAATAGAGATTTAAATTCATAATCTTTTAGTTTGAGATAGATGCTTTAACCAGCTAAATTATACTTGATTTCATTTTGTATAAGTTTATATTTTGTAATGGTTAAAATTTAATGTCTTTTAAATTGAGTAGCTTGTAATTGATTAAAGAAAATGATTGGGTGTGATACATTTATACTAAGTTTGAGACATATTTTAATCTAAGGGATTTGTATTTTGATAAAAAATGATGATGGTCTATTTTTAGGACGCGAGGCTGATTGTGGAAATATCCGGAAATTAAATATTAAGAACGGAAGAACTAACTGATTTAGTCAACCATTAAAAAAAGGTTTGACTTAACAAACACATAGAACCATTCAAACTCTCTATGACAATTCTCAGGATTATCCTTCAAAACCTCTATTAACAATTCCCAACATCCTCTAACAAACAAATAAGTCACTATAAAACACTCACAACCCAAGCATTCTTCAATTACTTCACACCAACCATTTCTACTTAGCTTGTTTCCATCCTTAGAAATATATAATGTCGTTCACATCTCTCAAACTCTTCCTCTTTGCTACTTTACTCGCCTCCATTGCACAAAATGCAATCTCCATACGCCATCTCACCCCCTCCCCATTTCATTTTCCTAAACATCTCCAAGGTTCTCGAAAGGGCGACACTGTAGAAGGAATCCACAATGTAAAGTTCTACCTCCAACATTTCGGCTATTTGACCAATATTTCAACCCATGCCCGCAACACCTTCGACGACCCCTTGGAATATGCCCTCAGAACATTCCAAAAAAACTATCGCCTCAATGCCACCGGCATTCTAGATGTTGAGACCCTGACGTTATTGTCCACGCCTCGATGCGGGCATCCCAACATCGTACACCCGAATTACGCCCTCGTCCCCGGGAGGCCCAAATGGCCACCCACCAAGTACCACCTCACCTACGCATTCATCCACAACTTCCCTCCAAACTTTGAGGCGCCGGTGCGGTGCTCTTTAGACACGTGGTCGGGTGTTAGCAAGTTCACGTTCTCGGAGACGATTGAAGCGGCATCCGACGTGAAAATCAGTTTTGAGAGAGGGGACCATGGCGATGGGTGTCCTTTCTACAGTCCAAACTATCTGGCGCACGCTTTCTACCCGACTGACGGGAGACTTCACTTAAACATGGATACGAATTGGGTGTGGGGATCTGTGGATTCTGCAAGTGATGTGCAGACGGTGTCGCTGCATGAACTTGGACATATCCTTGGCCTTGCCCACAGCCTTGATGAAGGGGCTGTAATGTATGCCTACATTCCTCATGGAGTCGTGAAGAGCGTAACCCAAGATGATATTGCAGGGATAACTGATTTATATGGTAGTTAGTAGTCATCTTAATTTGTGCTTATAAATAAGGTATTTTGCATTTTGCAAAGGAAGTAGGGTTTTGCTGTGAGTTCTGACCTTTCGATTAATATCTAGCTAGTTCAGTTGTTAGTTGACTAGTTAGACTTTAATTTTATTTTGCTATGCACTGTAAATGAGTTTGAATAAATAAGATTCATTTCTTTTTTTTTTCTTTTCTCCTCGCCAGACCCCAGATCAAGGCTCTATTTGAGTAAACAAACTCAACTCTTGAAAGTTAGTGCTAGTTACGTTAAACTTTTTATGTTTAGATATTTATGTTTAAGAATTTGATTTGCATTGTTTAAGAGGTAACAAACAAGTAAAATTTTATAAAATACCCTTAAATTATTTCAATGATGCTTCTATTTTATTTAGATTTAGTTAAATTATAGAAAGTATCCCTATATTAGAGGGTTAGTTTCAATTATGTTAACCATGTGTATACACAAATAGGTAGTGAGAAGCCCTTCACAGGTAACGAATAATGATCACCCACACATTTGTTAAGCTAAGAAGAAATGTATCAATAAATGTTGGAAGACTTTATTGGGCGGTATAAACTATTTAAGTTCCTTTTTTCTTACCATAAACATAAAACAAAGAATTTCAATGATTGAAATTAATTTGATAATCAGAGCCAATTTCAGAGTCTCGGCTGATCCTTTTGCAACACAAAGGTGGAGTCCATTCGACCAACTAAAACTCAGGGATATCAAAGCCACAACAATACATAAACTCACAGTAAAATAAAATATTCAAATCTGGCTATAAAATGTAACAGGTAAAAAAAAAAGGGTCCAAACCCAGCCATCAATGCACAAATGTGGTTTAAAAATATGTCATGCAACTAGAAGAATTACCATCTATACAAGAACCTCGTTAGTCTAGTCACAAACAGTAATGTTTATAGTGAGCCACAAGTATAAAAAGAAAATAAAGACAACCAATTGATGGCAAAGTTTGAATTTCTCTCCCTCGTTGAGCTAAAAAAAAAGTTTAATTAATTTGATAATATGTGAAAGTTTTAATTATGTTACTAAGCCAAAGTTTATCCGATTAAGAAATAATTTTTTCCTAAAATATTTAAAATAATTTTCATTTTGCTAACTATCTTCTCATGTTTTTATTTGTATGTGAGTAATTATTTATGTTTGCTTTAACTGCAATTAAATTTTTAACAAATAAGAGAGAAAATTGCAGAACAAGATAAAATAAAATAGAATTCTCTTTATTGCTTTAAAAAAAAGATGTAGTTGTAAGAGTGGTGATGAACAGAAAGATAAGTATTATTATATATTTTTAATTCATTATTAATAACTCAACAATTATATGTTTTGTCCACTTTGAACTATGACATTGTTTTTGATTCATCATATTTAAAATGTTTCGTATGGTCAAAACGAACATAGCTCAACAGTAATGTCAWATATCCCACCAATCTACTTTCCATTATGGATTCTGGCATGCTTCCGCTCATTTCAGTTTAATTCTCTTGAATTGAAATGAGAAATCGATATGGGTTTATTTTTTGCTTCCAAATTATATCTTGTAATAATAGCTTAGAAATATATGGTATTAGATATTGAAGAGTAAATTGGGTGCATACTAAAAAGTTGAGAGTATAACTAGATAGAAGATAAAATGGGAAGGTAAAGATTCTCCTCCGCTATCTCATAGAGCAAGATTATTTCATTTCACGTAGTGTAGCAGTAGTAATAGTAATAGGTAGAAGTGTAAAGTGGTCAGAATCCATACAAAGCCTTGATTCCAGCAATATCATCGGGGTGCAAGTTGCGTTTGGTAGCACCAGGCTCAATGAACTCGTACATAACAGCCTCCTGAACCAGGCTGTGGTCGAGGCCCAGAAGATGGCCAATCTCATGCACCGACACCGTCTCGACGTCAAAAGAATCAGCAACAGCGCCCACCACAAAGGAATCATCGGCGTCGAAGTGAAAATTGCCGTCCTTCGGAGCAAACGCATGGGCCATCACCCCCCTGGGGCCATCAAACACTCGGTCGTCTCCATGGGCCCGTCTCTGGTAGCTTATTTTGAGATCAGATTGTGTATTGTTGGGAACTTGTGAGAACGTGAAACCGCTATTTGCAGCCCACTGGTCGAAAGCTAGAGCCACTGGGTCCTTTCTGTCGGATGGGTAATCTGTTGGGAACTTGTGAGAACGTGAAACCGCTATTTGCAGCCCACTGGTCGAAAGCTAGAGCCACTGGGTCCTTTCTGTCGGATGGGTAATCTCCCAGGAATGCGTACGTGAGGTTGTACTTGGAAGGAGGCCATTTCCATTGTGGTCCATAGAATTTGTAGTGAGAAACTTTGTGTAATTGGACGTTGCCATGGGAGTGGGTATTGGATCCGTCTGCAGCCCTACATCCCTCTGTATCAGGGAACAAGGACACCAGTAGAAGAACAAGAATGGCAGAAGACATTTGCAGAACTTTGGAGGATGCCATTGCCATTGGAGTTGTGGTTGCAAAATGCCTTGCAATTTCACCCCTATTTATAGCCCTTTTCTCATGTACAAGTACAAAAATTGTAAGTTAACCACAATGTTGAAACTCTCTTGTCCAAGGTTTTAAATGGGACGAAAATTAATGTTGCGTTTGATTTACGTACGGATAAAATGTTTGATGTTGATGAAAATTATAATGTATGAATCTCGGTAGTATATCTGACTACTAATATATGTATGTGATACATATTTGATATAATACTGATACGAGTGTCTGATATACTTACAATATGTATGTGACATACATTTGATCTACTACTGAAATGAGTGTTTATACAATATGTATATGATATATACATATGATATACTACTTATATGAGTATCTGATCTTAGACTTAATTGTAAATTTTATTTTTAGTGCCACATTCGTTTACAAGATCAACTATCGAATAAATCTCCAAAAACTCATTAATTTCAACAAAAGTCTAGTTATTATTGTTGTCTAATTTTCGTGAAAACACGTTTCTCCTAGATTGATATTTGTATTATTTTCTTCTCTTTAAGTACTGATATTTGTGTTATTAAATATTACATATTAATGATAATAAATGAATATATAGATGCTAAATTGGAAAAAAAAACTAAGATTTTTAAATTTCTTTCGTCTATCTAATTAAAATCAAGACCTTCTTGAATCAATGAGAAAGATGAAAGCGAGGCAAGGAGAAAATAGAGAACAATAATTGAGAGAGTTGGCAAGAAGAGCAATTTTGAGTCTCTATTTTCTGTCTTTTTATTCGATTAGAAAATATTAAAATTGTGGGAAAGGAGGAGAGTTTCATAATAATTTACAGATACATAAAACTGTCACGTCATATTTATCTTAAAAAGATTAACAGTAATTTAACTTAAAACCATTTAGAAAAGATTAAACGGTCAGATTTTGAAATCTAAGGGCTAAATAGAATTCTAACCAAATTTTTAGGGTCTTAAAAGTATAATTTATCTAATTTATTTATTGTAATCGTTAAAATTTTATCTTCTTCAATTAAATAAATATCAAACTTGAGAAAAAAAGGCACTTCGTCAAGCTCAATTAATTGTAAATATGGAGAAGACTAAAATAGCCTTAAAATTGGTAGTAGTTTTTTCTCTCTCACTATGTTTGAGCATCTTTTAATGATATACATGAGTCGAAAGGATTACATAAAAATGTTAAAATAGGCACGTAAATTTTTTTAAAAGCTTTCATATTTGCAAAAATAGCAATCCTGTTATTAAATTTAAAAATACGAGAAAATGGACTACTATCTATTAAAGTTAAAAAAAAAAAGTCAAACCGAGCATAGCTCAAGTGGTTAAGGCACCTAAAAAAAAGTTAAAAAAAAAAAATTATGGTGCCAAAATATATTTTTGGTCCCTGAGTTTGAAGAGAGGTTTCTAATGGGTCACTAAGTTTTAAAAAACGACAATTTGGTCTCCGACCTTTAGAAAATAGTTCTAAAGAGTCCCTGGAGTTAAATTTCCATTAGTAATAATGTTGACGTGACATTCTCTCTCTTTCTTCTCCGTACGTTGACCTCATCTTGATTTTGAATTTGGATTTTGTGGTGTTTGATTAATTAGGTCAGGCTGGCATCGATTGGGAGAAGCGGTGGGGGTTTCTCCGGTAGGTTTCAACGGATTAGTTTTTGTCGGAAACTCTTCTAACATGTTCTCCATCGGATTCTCTACTGCCTACTTCTTTATCAGATTTGTCATCGTCGTCGCCCTCACCCGATGATTCATCTCCACCTCTACAGGATTAAAGGTCGAACACCAAGCTATCGCTTTTTAAAACTTAAGGACCAAATAGAAAGTTACCTTCAAACTCAGGTACCAAAAGTATATTTTACCCTTTTATATTTTAGAAATGTAATATTACGTAAGTTTGGTCTTAAAAAATAGAAGAATCTTTTGATTTATATTTATTACAAATATTTTCTATCTAATAATTGTTTCGATTATTTCAATTTTTTAATTACCTATTCTAAATAATAAACTTTAATTTTTTAATTCTTGTTTATGAAATGAGTTTTAAATAAAAGTTTATAATGACATTAGTAATTTAACATTACAATAATACTTGTTTTTACCGATAAAAGTCTCAATAGAAAATAATTGGTCTTCGAGTAATCTCGAAGATGAAATCCTGTAGGATGAAGTTAGCACTCTAGAAATTTTGTCAGCAAGAAATTGAAAAATGAAGTCTTATATGCTCAAAATTACAATGTTCGCGTACCTTTACCCTTTTACCTACGAGTATTTATAGAATTTCTTGATAACCGTTGGCGTAAAAAAATTTGAATTAAAAAACACAGTTATCTCTGAATTTTTAGGTAAACCGTACACGTCAAAAGAGGGAGTGCGGTTATGCGTTCGGCATTTTTCGAATTGCTCCGAACTCGTGTAAATTCTACACACGTGTCCCTCCTTTAAATGTATTGTAGATGACGTGTCTTTGGATGAATTTCCACCCTAATCAATACTCATGCTCTTTCCTCTTGTTTTATTTTTTTTCTATTTATAATACAATAATCTTTTATTTCTTGAAAAAAGACAATTTTTCTACCATTAATAATATGTTTTTTTTAGTATAACATATTAGAGAGGGAGTTCGAACTCACAACCTCTTGATTGGAGGTATATGCCAATTATCGCTGAGCTATGCTCGCTTCGGCCCATTAATAATATAATTTGTTTTAGAAGTATACGTTATTTAAAATTTAATTGCCTTTTTTCTCGAGTACAACATGTGGAGGTGGGGATCAAACTCACAACCTCTTAGTTGGAGTTATATGTTAATTACCGCTGAACTATATTCGTTTTGACTAAAATTTAATTGTTAATTACATCTTAAAGGTTAGGTTTATTTTTATTTATTAAATAATTTGTAAATATTACTTCAATATCTCGTTTTTAGCTTTCTGAAAGAAAAAAAAAAAGAAAAACAACTCCCCGGCTTTATTTTTTAAAATATAAAGAAAAATAGTTTTTTAAAAACAACAAATGTAGAGATGAGGGATTCAACCTCCGATCTCTGAAGACGAAACAATGTGACTTAATTGCTTAACTAAATTTATGTGGTCTAAAATGTATATATATAAAAGCTAAAATGTCGTGGAAAGTTTTTTCTTTCTTTTTCTTGGGACAACATATTATATCCTTGGTTAAATTGACTACATGATTATTTATCTTTCATTTCGTCAATATTAACATTAATATTTCTTGCACCCGTAATAAAATGTAATAGGTAAAAAAAAAAAGTCCAAACCCAGCCATCAATGCACAAATGTGGTTTAAAAAGATGTCATGCAACTAGAAGAATTACTCTCTGTACAACTAACCTCGTAAGTCTAGTCACAAACAATAATGTTTATAGTGAACCACAAGTCTAAAAAGAAAATAATTACTAAACCAATTGATGGTGTTGATGCGTGGATTTCGATCCTCCGGTTCTCCTCCTCGCACCTACCAAACTTGTTGATCCGGGACTAGTACCTGCAAAACCAGATGAGCTAAACCGGTGCGACACTAGTCACACGGGCTCCGATGCTTAAGTTAGCAGGAGGATAATGTGAAATGTAGCTAGTTTTAGATGCCCTTACCTCTAAGGCTGGATCGCTACTTATAGTCG